CAAATGCATAAGGTAGACAATGTTGAATACAATCCACATGGTAAGAATTCCCTAATGTATCAATTTTTAATTCTTTTTCCATATTCAAATTTTAAGCGATGTTGGGATAATTCAAGTTCATTAATCAAAATTTTCTAATAATATTTTATTTGAATAATTTAAAAATCTTGAAATTCAAATTTTCTTTTTTTTTCTCACTAACCTGTTGATTATTCTTAACTTTTGTTTTCACCAACTCTAGGAGGCTTATCCTATCTTACCTGGACCATGGTGGAATATGTTAAACCTAGGCTGGACAAATTCTGACAGAAAATTCGCTAAAATCATCTAGAACATTCACTACATTCACCATGATTATCCATGATTATCACCAGGTAAATATCCACCTGGCGAGGTAAAATAGGATAAGCCTATTATTTGTACAACTTCCCCTGTCCAAATGTGTTGCAATTAAAATACACTCCCAAATTTAATCAGTGACAATGTTATTCTTTCTGATATATACATATGTTCATGATTAAACCTTAGATAGTAAATTATTTTCCTTCTAAGGATTTTTGCTTTTGTTGGACAAAAGCACACTTTCATCCTGCTTTCTTTTCTTAATGTTTATTATTTTTCTTTAAATTTCATAGGTAATATTTTCTTTCCTTAGATAAGCTTCCAATGTCTGAGTATCATTTGTTTTGAAAATACAGGGAGCAATTTTTTTACCTTGTTCCTTTTTTAAAATACTTCTGATAGTACTATAATTCTTGGGTTCCATAGTAGATCTGATATAAATTAATTTCTTATTAATTATTTTTATATAGAAGTAATTCTATATATTACTTAATATTAAAAAAAACAGATAACAAATGAGAGATTTTAATAATCACATTGCTAAATTTTTATCCCTGTAATTCTTGGTAATACCAATGTTCACTTTGTCTGGTTTTGTTGCAGCATGCCCCAAATTATTATTACAGGTGTAATTATGAAAATAATATACTGGTTGTGTGGTGATCATAGATACTGGTGCTGTTGCTGTTGATGAACAGCCTATTCCTATTTCATAACATTCAAACATATTTACAAAACCAGATTGATTCATTTCCTTTGCATTTTTAAAAAATTCATGTTCTGTAGGATCAAATGCTTCATCAACAACTGACCATAGAATTTCTTTTCTTTTTATATGTCTTCCTGTGCTACTAATGCTATCCTCAGTGAATCTCGAGAAGAACAATATCATATGTTCATGTTCTGCTTGAATTGATTTAATTTGCAACATCAGGTTTTTCTTGTAATATAAAAAAAATAGCAATAAAAAATTTGATTTGCAGGACTGGCAAATGTCTATTTTTTTGAGGTCTATTTATACATTTTTGTAGACTACTTGATCAATTTATTAGGCTACTCTATCAATGCCATGAAATAGGAAATGTTTTTGCTATCTATACTATTCACTATTGCATAAAAGCTTGTAATGATTATTAACTGATAAGTTTTTGTCAGATTAAACATTAAAACCAAAAACCAATTTCAGTTAAGGTTTTCTCTGATTACTAAAATGGATAAATGATAGAAATTTATGACTTCATTATAGCAATTTATGACTTTAGGCACACATTTTAGCAAACTATTAATTAAAACTTCATTATACCATTTACATTGCAACAACTAACTGAAACTGGAATGCTAAATGTCTATTTTATCATTTAAATAAAAACTTTTTGTTATTATTATCTGGCTAGTTCAACATGTAAGAAATTTTATAGAAAAAAAGGGCCGAAATTTTTGTCTGAATTAGGCCAAATCCAACTTATTATTTATTATCAATTTTACCATCTATAAGATGCATTCGGTGTGGTATTTTGTTAATTTCCCATGCAAAAGCCATTCTGCTGCTTTAGAGTGGGGTTATTAAGGACACGCACAGTAGCATTTTGCAAAACAAATTTTTATGAATTGTTCTTTTAGGAATATGGTTAACATTTAATAATCAAGAGAGAATAAAGTAAAATTTAATAAAAAAATTTGCTTTTGGTATACAATACAACTTGTTCTTTAAAAGTATTTCTTGTGTCCAATTTTTTCACAATATAGATTAAACTGCCAATGAGAGAATTCAACCACGCCTATTCTTGGTAATATAATTGACGATCTTTGTTATCGAACTTTCAATCTTTACGATTTTACAAAATGCAGATGGATTATGAGATTCTTGAAAAAAATGAAGAATACGAAGACGATTCATGTATTAAGGTATCATCCCATTTTGAACAGGCTGATGAATTTTTTTCCAATTTATCAATTCTTTTAAAAGCTACTGCAAAGGATGAAAATTCAGACCAGGATGATGTTGAACAAGAGAGAATTTTAAGAAAATTAATTGGTTTGGTAAATCCTTTTGATAATTTTTTGCACTATATACAAATTTGATATAAACATAAACATACTTACATACATAATATCCTATACATAGATTGATCCTTACCAGGAACAACCATATCTTTTAGACCCACATTTAGAGAAAATGGTCAAACCAATTATTGAATTGCTTCGTTCCTATATAAAATCAGCTATAGCTCAATCAATGATTGTAATTAAATTTGGGACTACAGATAATCCTGATTATGTTCAAGTTCCTAAAATTTTGAAAAGACTTTTTAAACTTTTATATTATACCATGAAAATTCGTGGCTATAAAACAATTGGTAAAAAATCAATCATGATGATATTTTTTATATAATTAATAAAAGCATAATTTTAATATATAAATATATATTAGTAAAATTCTTCACACATGAAGTATCAGATTTGGAACCAACATTTTATTTTATGCTATTACAAGATCCAAAAGATTATAGTGGTTGGGAAACAAGATATGTGTTATTGATATGGCTTTCTCTCATTTCTATGATTCCATTTGATTTAAAAACAGTTGATAGCAGGACTAGCACAGGAAGTGATAAGGTAAATACAATAAAAATAAAAAAAATTTATGACATTATATCTATCTTAAACTTATTTTGTAATGAAATATTTTAGATTCCTCTTGTTGAAAATATGATAGGGTTATCAAAATTTTACCTTAAAGCCACTGGGAAAGAAAGAGATGGTGCTGCAATATTATTATCAAGATTATTGACAAGGTTTTATATAAATAATTAGACAAAAATAAATTATCAATACTCATGCAATATTAATTTTTAGACGCGATATGGCTGAAAAATATTTGAATAATTATGTTCAATGGGCAAGAGATGAAGCAAGAAATAACAAAGACGTTTTTACAGTAATAAAACCTTACCATATTTTCCAAGTAAAGCTGGTCTTTCTTTGCTTAAAAATAAAATACTAATTGAATTTAAAATCAAAAAGATTACAGGAATACTTACATCATTATGTGCAACCTATAAACTTGGTCAAAGGCAATCTTTACTTCCAACATTAGAAACTGCATGGCCATGTCTCTTTATTCTTGAAGAAAATCAAATATTTGCAAACAATGCTTTAGTCAGAAAAATGCTGGTAAAATTGGCTCAAAGATTTGGATTATGTTATTTAAAACCTAAAATTGCATCTTGGAGATATCAACGGGGTAATGATATTATCTGGAAAAATTTATTCAATAAATTACCAAAGTATTAATGTTTATTGTTTGAACTGATTTAGGCAGCCGATCCCTAAAAGATAATTTACAAACTACGTCAAAACCAAACATTGATCCTTCAAATATACAAAAATCATTAAAAGAAGAAGGGGAGGAAGATGAAGAAATTCCTGATCAAATTGAAGAAATTATTGAAATTTTATTGAATGGATTGAAACACAAGGTTGATCTGAACAGATTTTAAATGCTAATTTTCAATCAATAAATGTTAATATTGATTTTTATTAAATCAGGATACAGTTGTACGTTGGTCAGCAGCAAAAGGACTTGGCAGACTTTCACAGCGTTTACCACAGGAACTTGCAGATGATGTAATTGGATCATTGTTTGAACTATTTTCTGAGAATACTTATAAACGAAATAACCTGTTAGAGTTGTCAGCTGTATCTGATTACACATGGCATGGAACCTGTTTGGCTGTTGCAGAATTGGCAAGGAGAGGGCTGTTATTACCTGAGAGATTAAAAGAAGTCATACCTTGGGCTATCAAGGTTGAAAATAATTTATAACCATTTAAAAATTGACAAGAATAAAATTTCTTTATTATAACATATTTAAAAAAAATTTTAGGCACTAACATTTGATTTGAAACGTGGCTCACATTCAATTGGTGCACATGTAAGAGATGCTGCATGTTATGTATGTTGGTCCTTTGCTAGAGCCTATGCACCTGAAGTTTTAGCACCTCATGTACCAGAGTTGGCTAATAGTCTTGTTGTAGCATCAGTATTTGATCGTGAAGTCAATGTAAGACGTGCAAGCAGTGCAGCTTTTCAAGAAAATGTTGGAAGACTGGTAAATATAAAAATAAATTGGCCTGTTTTATTTAGTTTGTTTTAAACTAATTTTTATGTTTCAATAGGGTATTTTCCCTCATGGGATAGAAATTATTACAACAGCAGATTATTTCACTGTTGGCAATAGAGTAAATGCATTCTTAGAAATCAGTGTGAAAATTGCAAAGTTGGTATTTTTATATTTTTCAACTGATTTATATATTATAAAATTTCAAAATTTATTAACTAATTTTTATATAGGTTTTCTGAATATCGATATCATTTGATTGACCATCTTAGTAAAGTTACAATATCTAATTGGGACAAAACTATGAGAGCATTATGTTCAAAAGCATTATACAATTTAGCTTTTCTTGATATTAATTATATGGTCAATAGTGTGCTTCACTTGTTAGTAAGTTAAATAATTATGAATTTTATATGTATTTTTAATAATAATAATAATAATAATAATAATAATAATAATAAACTCATTTCTAGATACCACAAGCGTTATCACATGATATGCACACAAGACATGGTGGATTATTGGCTGCTGGTGAAATATGTTTAGCATGGTCAGAAATCAATGGAAATGATAGAAGTTGGGTTGAAATTCATAAGAAATTAATTGAGGTACTTGTTTAGTTATCATTGTTGATTTTGAACAAAATTTTATTGTTTTATTAATCATTTTCATGCAATTAGGAAATTTCATATATAATTATTAATTTACCAAAAAATCTATTCACTGATTTTGGATCAGAAATAACATGCCAAGCAGCATCACATTATATTTCATGTTTATCAAAGGCAAATTGGCCTATTACAAATGATATAATGGTTGTTTGGAAAGAAGTTGTGTATGATCTATTAAGTAGAAAAGATGAATATGGACAAGACGTGGCTGTTAAGGCAGTTAAGGAAATAGTTAATACTTATGGAATTCAAAAAGAAGAAATTCTATCATATCCTTTTATGTTAAAGAAAAAATGTTTTTTCTAAAGCCTTATTTATTTACTTAACTTTTTGAATACATATATTAATCATATAAATCCAGCAAAAAACGTATATGCAAGAAGAGGATTTTCGCTTGCCTTAGGTGTTGTTAATTATAACAGAATTAGTCCATTGTTATTAGAAAGTGTTATTGATGCATTAGTAATATCAGCTAGCATACAGGTTAATTTTTAAAAAAATGTGTCTAGATATTGCATTAAATTATATATTTATTTATTATTATTTAATTTTTAATATTTGAAGAAAACAAAAATATTGAATGACCCTGAAACAAGAAGAAACTCAATTATTTCACTAACAAAAATTTCCACAACACTTGGGGAATCTTTTAAAACAGGTAAAATGGTTTTATTGCTAATTTTTCTTTATTTAAATGTAATTTTAACTAAATAATGTAAATACTATTTTCTAGTTGCTTCTGAACATATTTTTCATAAAATTGTTGATACATATTTTATGGGATTGGAAGATTATAGTGCTGATTCACGTGGTGACATAGGGTCATGGATACGTGAAGCATGCATGAATGGATTTATGGAATTTTGTCCATTGATACAAAAATTAGATTTTAAAGACATGAACTGTAAACCTTGGTGGACAAATGACTTATCTAAAAATGTTTTTTCAAGTTTATTAAAACAAAGTGTTGAAAGAATTGATAAAATTAGATCTTGTGCAGGAAAAGTTTTGCTTAATTTATTATATAAAAAAATAGTCATTGATGGAAAAGAAAAATTTTTATTTGATGTACCAGGGAGAGAAATATTGCAAAAAATTTTGCCAAGGTAATGTAATAATTATATATATGTTTGTAAGTTGATTTTAAAATATAATTAAATTGTTTTTTTTTTTTTTAGAGACAAAGAAATTCATTGGATTAAACCATCTGAGTTATATCCAAGATTAATAAAATTATTAATATTACCTGAATATAGATTTGATTTATTAACAGGCTTAGTGATTGCTGCAGGCGGATTAACAGAATCTTTGGTAAGATATTTTTTGATTTAACAGTATTTGTCATTTTGAGTTTTTTTTATTGATCAATATTCAATTAATCTAGATAAGATATTCAGGCAGCACATTGGTAGAATATGCAAATCAACTTCCAATATCTTTGGATGATTGTAATAATGATAATGATAATAATAATAATGATGACGGTGACGGTGACGGTGATGATGATGATGATGATGATGATTCAATAAATTTAATACTGGAAAATAAATCATTATCATTAATAGAATTTTATAACACACTACTTGAAATATTTATTAAATGTGAAAAGCAGGATAGAATTGTGATACCTTTATTAGAAGTTATAGATTTATTATTCGAGGCTGGTATATTACAAAAAATTGATCAAAATAATTTTAGGTATGGTATTGTATTATCATTTATCTCAAGAAAATATGAATATTTTATTAATGATCCATTTTAATGATCCAGTTTCATGGAATTATTTGAGTGCACAAAGAAAATATGCACAAAAACCAAAGATATTAGAAAATTAACGGCTTGTATGCATGTGTAAGTTTAAAAAATATTATTTATAATTATAATTATATATATATATATATTAAATGTATTATCCTTTTATTGTTAAAAAATTTAATTTTAGATTTTGTGGTATGACTACATTAAGCGGTTCAGTGAAAAATAGAGCATTATTTCAATTACTTTCACTTTTAATCCATCCATTTCCAAAGGTGATCTAAAAAAAATTTATTTATATCATCATTAAAATTATTAAAGATGCCATTTTAATACCTGTGTCTATATATATGTATGATATAAAGATAAGACGATCAACAGCAGATCAATTATACTTAACAATTACTTCAGCAGCTGAAAATGAAGAATCTGAACAAATGTTACAAATTGAAGATATATTAACTAATACTGATTGGTACTTTATGATTTAAAATTTTATACAATTTATACAATTTATTTATAACTAATTTGATTATTATAAATAGGAATGATTCAATACCAGAAATAAAAAAAGTTAGAGACAAATTATATCCACTATTAAATATAAAACCACCAGCTATCAACTAAACGTTAATCACTTTTTTGTTGGTTTATTTTCATTAGTACAAAAAAAAAAAATTAATTACATAAATATAAATATAAATAAAAAAATTTTCTTTCAATTAAGATTAACTTCAAACTTCTAAGTTAATTATAATCATAATGTGACCATTGGTGACATACCATCGTCATCTCTTAAATTTTATTGACTACAACTGTTAATGAATCCTCTTGGAGAAGAGACTGCATTTTGATTTTTTGATTTATCATTATGATTATGATGTGCATCGTTGTTACATATGGGACATTGAGGTCAATTACTCTGATCTCTCATTATAGTACTATGTCTAACTTTTGAGCCTACTCCTTTGTTGTTGAGGGTAAGTTTGTTAATACTATCTTGCAGTGTTGTCAAATTTTCATTGTTGAATAGACATTATTCATGATAAGTGTGTTGACAGAAAAATATAATTGTTGCTGTATTAGAGTCGATGGGTAGTGTTTTTTTATTTTTTAAATAAATAAAAATTGGTTCAATAAAAATAAAAATATATTAATTAAATAGAATTTATAAAAATAAACTTACAATCAGAAATTATCAGTGCTGAACAAATAGAACATGGTAAATTTTCTAAAATTGAAAATAATCAATATATTCTCACATCAGTTCTTACATATATTCTGGAGGAAAAACCTCATCTAATAACTTTCAATTGAAATGCCACGTTTCTGTGCTTTGTGAAGTTGATTAGCCATCGAAACACTGTCATTAACCAAAATTCTTTGACAACCTTCTTGTAATGACGCCTAAATAAACAAAAATATTTTAATATAATGATGATTTTTTAAAATATACACACCTGTAAATTAAAATCTTGAAGAACTTTTATCAAGGCATCTTTCAATCCCGGGATTTCCAATCTAATTGGATAAATACTTGTCCCACCAAGATTTTCACAACACGAAGTTACAAAATCGGATATGGTGCAGGAGCTAGTCCACTGCGCCACTACGCCAAAAATTTTTAGTTCACTGGTTCTCGAGTTCTATACTTTTTAGGAAGGTGACGATTATCACTATATAATAAAAATTTTTTTAGGGAAAAA